TCTCAGGTCATCTGTTCTCCTTCTTCTTTGTATTTAAGGGAAGTTCTTAGTTTATAATTTTATTTTTTTATAAGTAGAACTAAAAATTGTACTTTATGTCTCTGTACTTTACGTGCTGTAACTCTTGCTAAGATGTGTTGGAATCAATGGTTTGTGTTTTTTAGGATGTGGGCATTTGGGAAATAACACAACAGAAGTCTTGGATCAATGTCCACTGAAGTCTGTGGAAAGCTTTATGCCAATTTCAGTTGGCCTTTTGTCAAGTCTCTTAAAACTTTTCATGAATATTTGAACTATTTTAATGGATGTGAAATGACATTTAACTCTTCCTTTTGAGAGATTTTTCATCTTGAGCACATGTACATCCATCTAATGGTACAGACTTCATCAATTTCTTTGGCCGTTGTTTTAGCTGCTCTCAGTTAAGACACAGTGGGTTTTTAATACCTAATTTTATGTATATGCTCATAACACTGAATAAGGCATTCTGAATATAAGTGATATTCCTTAGAAAAGACATGGATACTTTTTAGCACTTTGTTTAGTTGAGATACTCTTATTTTTGTACAAACTGTAATTTAACTGCATATCAGTCAGTATTAAGAGGTTATGTTTAGCAGAGACATTGCAGTTCAGTTATTCATCTGTTTTAATTCTCAGTTTCATTTCGTTATGCTTCTTACCTCATTATTTGCATCTGGATTCTGAAACTCCTCTAACTTCAATATGCATAAAGCTGTTGCCTTTAATTTAATTGACATATAATGAAAATACCTTGTATGCAAACAGAGACCCCACAGCCATGAGGCTTTTCTAGTCTGGAGCAAGGATTTGCCTGTTATCTCAGAACTTATTTTTGTTAATTTATGGGTGAGAAATAGAAGTTCTGAAAATCTTTCACTCACTCTCACTGCTCTGTTTTTTTATGCAAAGTCTGTTTTTTTGGAGATGCTGAAACCTCAAACTAAATTAGGTTTACAGGCTGGTAAGCTGCCAAAGGCTTCACTCAGAGTTTAAGAACACAGGTGAGCAAATGGGAGCAGCCTCTGTGCTGTTCCAGCAAGTAAGAGGCCAGTGAGACCTGTTAGGAACAGATATGTTAGCATAATGACTCTCAAAACTGTTCCATGTGTGTTGAAAATCAGTGGAAGGTCTACCTGGTTTGGTATCGCTAAGATGGTCTTTTAGAATGCTTAATAAAATTCTGCTTATTTTTCAACTTATAATTTATCTTCAATGAAAAAAATGTTGAAGCAGATACCATGTTATCATTTCCCTTGTCCAAATTTCATTTTGAGATTCTTCTTCCTTTTGAAACACACCAAGAAAACAAAGCAAGTGCCTTATCTTGGTGATAATACCAGAGACTGAAGAATGTCACAAAGACATACTGGATCTGAAAATTCCTTTAGACCAGACTTAATCATATGTTTCATAACAAATAATGAGTAGAAGGAGAGTTGCCTTCTCATCTCCTCTGAACTTTTCTGCAAGCAAACTGCAAGTTCTGCTAATTTATTGATTCAAAATTACTTGCTAGCCACACAGGACAACATCTTTCCATTTTCTTTCCAATGGACTGGAATATCCCTTACAGAAGGATAGCAAATGTATGTGGGGATGGAAGAACAAGAGCACAGTGAATTCCAACTTAGCAGTCTCTTGGGTGTTCCTTCCCACCATATTCTCAAATTTATTGCTATTATTAGTGATAGCCACAGTGGGAGACAGAAGGAATAGACAGGAGTCCCTGGCCTTTTTCATGCTGTGTTGTCTAGACTTAGAAGAATGTTAGATTTTGTCATCCTGCTTCCTCTCATGGTGTTATAATTGCAAAGAATCTGAATTAAAAATGGAGTTTTGACCTATCTGACCCTCTCCTCCTTGTGCCCTAAACCCATCAAGGTTAATGGAAGGACATCCTTGATTCAAGGAAAATCACATGTATACTATGCTGACAATAGGAAACCCAATGCATAAATTTCCATGACACTTTTGACAGCATTTGTTCAACTACTGAAGTGTTTGAGCTGGATAAATATGTTGCATCTAGCTCACATTTACAGAGATGTTTCATGTGTTCGTAGAAAAAAATCCCAGAACACCCTGGAGGACAGACTAGCCAAAATCTGACCTTCAAGAAACTGGAATTCCTTGGCAGTGTAAAGTTAGAAGAGATAATTCTGTGCCAGTCTCCTGCCAATGAGCAATGCTATGGCATTTCTCAGCTGGCATGTTTTCCAGCCAACATGACTGTAGCCATAGGCCACTTTGCTCTACCTAACACAAAATTTCAAGAACCTGCAAGAAAAGAACCTGGCAGTTGTTGTCCCATTGCCCTCTTTGCAGTGCTCTGGGGGGCTGCAGTCTTGTTTGAAGCCAGGTCAGCATTCTCAGCATTACTTCAGAATTACCAAAATAATTAGTTCAACATGAATCCTTGAAACTGTCCCATACCTGGAAGAAACAGAAAGTGATCGGTGATTGAATGAGTGTCCAGACTTCTCTGTGGACTTCCCCTTTCTTCTTGACAACTTCATAAAACTGAATGTTGTCAAAAAGAAGGTATCCTTCATTCACACAGAATTTTTCCATTTGGAGGATGAGTCTGATGTAAAGCCCAAAGGAAGAAGTCTTATTGGAGATTTAGGGTCATTTCTGGTGGAAAAAAGTGACTACACTTGTAAGGCACTCAGTCAGCTGCAGCCTCTATGAAGGTGCAGCAACATACATGTAGGACCCAGAATTCAGTTGCTTCTTCTCCCCATTCTGAATTCTCAATCCACCTTGTAACATTAAATATAAAAATTACATTTGAGGCTGAAACTTGGTGTACATCAGGGACAGTTTCTTACAGGAAAATGTAGAAACCCCTTTTTTCCATATGGTTTGAATCATTTACAAAATGAATCCTATAGGAATAATTTCAGATGTGGAAACCTTTAAAAGGGGGAAATAAAAACCAGATTGACTACATTTCTGTTTTCTAGCTGAAAAACAAAAATCACTTGGCAACGCCCAATTATCCGTGCATTCTAGTAGATAAAGATTGCCTTTCAGAACCACTTCAAATTGTGTGATGACACACATCATAGAGATGAAAATATTAGTCCTCTTCCCTACAGGGAAGTATTTTGTCATGATCAAATGTGATCTGACATTTGAAATGTGCCAACTTTCTGCAGTGAGCAGGCAAGTTAAATTCCTGTCAATTAATTAAAACCTGTCTTTTATTGATGGAGGCAATTTTAACCTTCCTTTTGAATGCTAAGCAGATACAGGCTAAGATACAGAATTATGAATTCATGTTGAAGAAACGGGAGGGGGCAAATTTGGTAATCAGAATATCATTTATGTTTGTTTCCTTACTGAAATTCAGAGGGCAATTAGACCCTCTCAGTTCATAACATGGGATCTCTTCTACTGCCAAAATTAAGATCACAGTATGATTTTTATGCCTTTGATTTGGAAAAACGGAAGTGAATTTCCATGAAAAGAGTATAGTGGATGGTTACAGACTGTTGAGGACCTGTAGATCTCTGAAGAATCTTTTCAGCTGGAATAGACTTGAAATCAGTTTCAGCATTAGCTTAGTAAACAGTTAAAGCTGTGAAAATTTCATATGTAACTTCTATTTTCACTTGCTTTTCATTTTCTATAGAGTTTTACTCATGGTAAACACGAGTTCTTAAAGTGCAGAAAATTCCACAGATTTGTAAAAAATACAATGCTTACATTAGACATTCAAACTGCTCTCCTTCTGATCCCCGTGGTGTTCTGGCCCTGGATAGGCTAAAGAAGAGCATCCATTTCAGAATGGCATAGGTGATACATGTGTCATATCTGCATTTTCAAAGAAGACTTTTTTGAGGAAGGAGGTGGAATCATGATCTGGGAGGACTTAAGATGTTGGGCGAGATGGTTTGCCATTGACATGTGTTTGCGCATATTTTTCTGAAGCCTAAGAGATACTCAGTCCTTGTGGGATGTCAGTTTTGGCAGGAGGGTGTTGGCATTGATCCAAAAGAAAAATCTGTGTCTAGTATTACATATATAATGTAATAGAATTACCTGATGAAACTACTTCTTGGTTTTTGATTTGGTAAAAAGGAGTGTTTATTACATGTTTTACAAAACCAAGAAATGAAATAAAATCAAAACTGATTAATGAGCTGCATGGAAATACTTCCTCAGTGCCACCCACATTTCCCTGGCCCTGATCCTGGAAACACTTCATCACATGTGCAGTTTTGTGCACAGATACTATGTGAAAACTACAGTGTAGTTTTCCCATACTTACTTTTGTCTTTCAGGGATCCAAGAAGGAATACAATCAGATACTTGCTTTCACTGATTAGCTTTCTGTTGTAGGAGGGTGTAAATTTGAATTGTGTTAATTTATTATGATTAATAATCATTATGATTAATAATCATAATGTGGAGAGCTGATTACTGAATGACAGTGCTAAAATATTCAGATGCTTCAACTTTGTGTGGCTGTCTTGTAATGTATGTAAATTTCTACTCAGAGTGACCTTAAGTTTGGGATTCCTGTTTGGTGATACCCTGTTCTGGGAAAACCCTGAATCTTAATTGAAATATTTTGTTTTACTAATATATGCATTTGTGAGAAGTTGTGTTTTCCAAAAGCATTTCCGTTTTATGTGAGGCTGCATATCCTGTGCACGAACACACAAACAGATCTATACTGTGAAGAAGGGGTTAATATTGCATGTGAAATTATCCATAGTACTGTGTGAAGATGTTCTACTGCCAATCCCACAACAGTCCTGTTTTGTGTGTTACCAAATGTGAAACCTGGTCATCTCCAAGGCGAAATGATGTGTACTTTAATCAGGAAGACTATCCAGATTATCTCCAGTAAACTTAATTTAGAGGTGCACATGGCTTTGCAGGAAGATTGCTTTAAGAGCTAGCATGTTCCAGCTGTGAGTCTCGACAGTTTTTTCTCTAATTTGTGGTGGTATTTCTTTTTTCAGTCAGGTTTGATAAGGACACGGAAGATCGAGTTCCTTATATCTCCGTTACCTCAGCAGCTAGCACAGGAGCACAACTACACATCACCTGCTGGACACCACCCTCATGTGTTATACAAGCGAACGGCAGAACAGAAGGTGCACCAGTACACAGTACAGTCCCATCCCAAATACTTTTCTTTTGGCCATCACAGAATGCGCACTTCCCACGAGTATCATGCTCAAGCGAATGGTTACCACCATGGAAGGTTTCAAAAGCAACATTTTTGTGGACGTCGCAAGAAATGTATGTAAGGAAACTTTCTCTCCTTTTTTGAGGTAGTGGCTGTTACAGGCTGTGTGGTGATCCTGAGGTGTGCTTCACATCTCCATCCTTTGGGGTAGACATAATAACTTTAAATTATACATTTCTAAAGTGAAATACAGATGAGAAACTTGAGTTTTGTCTTTAAATTCGTAGAATCATCAGAATCACTGTTTAGTTTTCTTCTGCTTTTCCTAGATTCAAAGACCCCTTGCTTGACTTTTTGCTTTACATTGACATAGTTTTCAGTAAGCAGTTCTACACAGTGATGGATGCTAAGTCCCTGAACTGCTCTCTATTAGCTTGGCAGTAAAAAACTGAATAGGCTTTAAGATGGAGAGAAAGTTTACAAAATCCTTAATTTCTGAGAGGATAGAGAATAAGTCTTTCAGAACTCACCATTGATAATGAAATTTTCAGAACTGAGATCTTCAAAAAGAACCTCCCATGTAAATTGTTTAAATAAGATTTTGGAGCCACGTTCTTTAAAAATATATTGAAATATATTATCCTGCCAAGATCTATTCTGCCTCCTTCATTAGGCCCTCAAATTGCAGAACATTTTAAAGCCCCCTTGGACCCTATAGCTGTACTTTCAGCATTCAGTTGATTCTTTTTGAAAGCTGATCAGCTTCTGAGCTGAGTTTCTTAATGAGGGTCTCTAGGACAGCACACAGGATTGGAAACAGTGTCTCTGTCCAGTTACATTCTTCCAACTTCCTCCTCAAGTTCCCAGAAAAGGAGCAGCTTCCTTTTCCAAAGGTGTGTAAGGAAGGAGAAAATAAATAGAAAGGAAGGAATGAGAAAGAAGTTAGTGGGAAGGGTGTCTGGCTAAGACTGAGGCCTAGCTGAGGCCTGAAAACAAATGGCTTGTTAAAAATCCAGAAATGTTTCCCTGCAGGTTTGAAAGCAAAGCTTCAAATGCCACATGCACAACCCTGTGATTCAACCCGTACATGTCTGCATTCTAATGCAGCCCAGAGCTGCCTCATTACACCCTCCCTTTCCTTCTTGCCTGGTTTTCCTGCTGCTGGCTGCAGAGCAGAAGGTGATGGTGCTGTTAGCTTTTCTGCTCTACACTGGTTCCTTTTATTTGCATTATGCACTGGGGTCTTGTGCCTTATTTACTGCTCCTCCTGTGACTGCTTCTCCAAATTCAGAATTATTCATGTCCTCTTAAGATTTTACAAGGTGCTTATCCCTATAATAAAAGAGGGCATTTTAAACCTTTATATTTCATAAACATTTATATTTTCATGACCTCCTGGGATGTGAGAAGATATACCATTATTTCTGTCTTACAAATGGGACAGACAGACGCAGGAGATGTCAAAAATAACCATTGCTTCTGGGCACCAAATCAAGAAATTGAGATTTTCTTTAAAATATTTATCAAAGATGTACTTTTGTAATTCTATATGTGTATCTATATATTCAATAATTTCAGTTACAACTGTGAGTGTTCTTAGCTGCCTATTCGAGCAGGGTTTATGTTAAATGAAGAACATGCAATTAGCATCCAACTGTGATGAGTTTAGTATAAGTGATTTACCCAGGATTACTCCGATGTCAGATGCGCTGTTAGGATCTGATTAAGCAAGATGTATTTAATTACTTTAACCACGAAACTCTTTTCACATCCTATGGCCTTTTACTTTGTGCAGTACATACCTGTAACCTTTTGAGAGAAAGGAAGGAGTTCTAAAAAATAACAGCCTATTTCCAGACCCAGCCTTGGTTAATCTCTAGAGCAAATCGGTCTCATGTTCACTGAATGAATGCAGTGCTACAAATCAGGTGTCATTGTTTAATTGAGTGGAAGAAAATAGAAGATGCAGGAGAAATCACTCCAGTAAAGGGAACACTCCTTCTATGAGTGTTTTGTACCTTTTTCTTCTTCTTCGTTTCTTACTTTTTTCTCCCGTTTTTAATAGTTTTTACATAGTTTTCCTGGTCTTGTTCTGAGATCTGGAGTCATATCAGTTTGAAATTTTCAGCAAAATTCAGTCTGGTCATCTGGAATAGAAAAATTCAGCTTGAATGAGCAAAGGGATGGAGAATGCAGTCTGACAGAAGGCATTCCTCTGCTGTTAACCCTGCCTAGTCAAGGTTAATTTTGCCTAACCTAAGAATGAAATCCAACTTGCTGAACAGTAAGAGGGAAGAGCACATTGCCACCTTTGGTGTCATAAAAATAGCATGTCCCATTCACCATTTTTTAAAATTTATGTGCTGGCAGTTTGTAAGCACTAGAAAAGCCAGTTGCTCATCTTCCAAACTCTTTCTTCACAACCTAAATGTTTTTAGATTATGAGAATTAACTGGACTGTAGTTAGTAAATCATGCATGAAACATTGCTGCTGTTCAGGTTTTAGTAGTAGCAGTGAAGTTAATTCAAGAGCAAAACTCCTCTGCTCATGGGTATATGTGTCCAATGCCTAGAAGCTGTATTGCCTTCAGAATAGCTTGAGGATACTGATGCGCCTTGAACTGAGCACTTCACTCTTGGGTGAGGCCTGTCCTTGTGTCTTTATGTGCTACCAGAAGAGAAAAGTTCTTTGAACTTGGAAAGGGCAGTTGTTTATAATGAGTGATACATTTGAAAATCTTACTAGCACAGTCCTTTGTGATGTTAAATGTACTTCAGAGTGACTTAGTTCTTAAAAGCAAACCACTGTTGTGCATTCTGTAGTATTCTTGATTTCTCAGTTTGGCATGGAAGTAGTGTCTGTTCTATCCCTATCTTTGGAATAACTTTCTAATGAGGCACAGCCAGGAATTTTTTCATTACCCAAGGCTCCCTCACTTGTGTCATGTTACATCCTGTGTTTGAAAAACTCCTATTGTTATCCAAATAATATGTTAAAATGACTTTTGAGTTAATTCTTGATGCAAAGGCAGCATAGGTTTATGCAAAAGAAGCTATGGGTTGCAGGAGCACTATAGGATGTGGGACATAGATTTCTCTTCCCTATTTTCTGGCTCTCTGAAGACATGGAGTAGATACCGTTCTCTAACTGTGCCATTGGTCATGCTGCACCCGCAGAGGAAAAGTGCACCCTAGCTTTGAGGTGTGCTGACTGGACATGCATAGCCTGTTGTCAAGCCCTCCTTGCTGTTGCCTGACATT